CTGGCCCTGTCCGCCAACAAAGCTCATACTCGGACCGCATCCCCGTCCCAGTCGTCGTCGTCGTCGTCTCCGAGCGCCGCTCACAAAGTTCCTATTGCGTTTATTAATGACGGTAATCGTTCCTCCTCCTCCGACGGCGGTGGCGGCAGCGGTGGCGACCAGAAGGGCTGCCCGGAAAGCCTGGTGGTGCACAGGCGCAACGCCACGCCGCCCACCTCTTCTCCGAGCGTCAATACAGTTCCTGAGACGTCCGTCTCCCTACCTCAATCTGGTAGTCCTAGAAGTAATGTTAACTCGTTTAGTATAAGTAAAAACAATAATTGTAGTAATAAAGCCGCCACCTCTGCAGCCAGCGGCAGGTCCAGTATGTTCGATTGTATTATGGACCTGACTAGGAAGAGTCCAATATCCGCGTTGGCCGTGTCGTCAGGCACGTCGGCTCGGAGCAACAGCGCTTCACCGGGTGCCAGCCCGTCACCAGGCACCACACTCAGCCCACAACTCATATCTGGTGGCGCCCCGTTATCGTATCCTCAACCGCCGCCCAACTTTATGACCGGCACTACAATTGGCGTGTGTCCAGACCACATGAACGGTAGACCCAGTGGAGTGGACTGCGCAAGGTGTGAGCTCATTTTAAGTTCCTCGAGACTGGGTGGCGTGGGCGGGTCGCTGGTAGGCATGCACTCCAGAAATTCGTGTAAAACGCTTAAATGCCCGAAATGCAACTGGCACTACAAATACCAAGAGACGCTAGAGATACACATGAAAGAGAAACACCCCGAATCCGAAACGTCGTGCGTGTACTGCATCGCCGGGCAACCACACCCGCGGTTGGCCAGGGGCGAAACGTACACTTGTGGTTACAAACCGTACCGCTGCGAGGTGTGCAACTACTCGACGACTACCAAGGGCAACCTGAGCATACACATGCAGTCCGACAAGCATCTTAACAACATGCAAGAGTTACAAAACGGCGGTGTGGCCGGTACCGAGATGCAAAGGCACCAGGCCTCGTCGCCGTCCCAGCATCCGAAACAGTCTTCGGCCATGAGTCCAGGATCGACGAGCAGTCAACATCCAGCTATGAACAGCCCAATGATTAACCAGAAGCCAAAGCCCACGTTCAGGTGCGAGGTGTGCAACTATGAAACGAACGTAGCCAGGAACCTTCGCATACACATGACCAGCGAGAAGCATACACACAACATCATGGTATTGCAGCAGAGCGTCAAGCACATGCAGACGCTCAATGCCCTACAGACGCATCACCAACAGCAGATGAACTTCGAGTCGCTAATGCACTTCCACCCGGGGCTCACGCTCCCTGGAGATAAGCCGCCGCCACACTCTGAGGCAGCGCTCGCCGACATGGCGTACAACCAGGCTTTAATCATACAAATGATGACTGGCGGACAAATGCCGCCACACTTTACTGGCGACGTGTCACCCCACGTTGACACCGACATCGGACTGAACCCAGAGACCATGGAACCGCCGCCCGAGCCGGTGGACAAAAATCCGAACTTTATGTTCCAGTGCAGCACGTGCAGCACGTTTGTCACCGACTCGTTGGAAACGTTATCACATCACTTGTCCACCGACCGGACCAAAGTACGTGAACAAGAAATACTCACCGTGGTGGCTGGAAACTATATATGCAACCTGTGCACGTACAAGACAAACCTGAAAGCCAACTTTCAGCTGCACTGTAAGACCGACAAACATTTGCAGAGGCTGCAACACGTCAACCACGTGAAGGAGGGTGGGCCGCAGAACGAGTGGAAGCTCAAGTACATGTCGTCGCCCGGTGGAGTTCAGGTTAGGTGCAACGCGTGCGATTACTACACGAACAGCACGCACAAACTACAGCTCCACTGTTCCGGCCAGAGACACGAGGCCGCCTCGCTGCTGTTCCGGTACCTGCGGGACAACGACGCGGGCGACGCTTCCGTCTATCACTGTTTGCTGTGCGAGTTCTCCAGCAAGGACAAATTGCCGCTACTGCAACACGTCAGGACCGTGAAACACATGCAAATGGAGCAGCTGCACCAGATGCAAAGGCGGTCCGATGGCAAAGACATACAGACCGATATAAACATGGTGTTCCAAGTGACCAGTGCTCCGCAAACTACCATGTCCGTCGATAGCGACCAAGAACAAGGTAAGTCGCGTTACACGCGCAATGATATAATTATTAACCGTAGATTATACAATACAAAACTATTCCGATAGTCAATGGTAATAAAAATGAGTAAGCATAGTTAAATTTATTTATTATCAAAAATACGTAGAAATAAAAAATTGCGTCGAATAATTAAATCGTATAAAAAGTATTTAGTATTCGTGAGAATATAAAAATAATTAATTTCCATATTTTTATTAACACAGTAGTACCTATTATTGATATTTTGCTGATTGTGTTATAAATAATTATTCATATCAATTAATACGTTTTTATACAAAATAATCTGTCCATTATACCTAGGAGGCAAAGTACAGTACGCGTTTCGTTTATATTACAGTACATTAGTATAAAAATTATAATAATAATTTTAAAATAATGAAATTATACAATATTAAAAAGTAATTAAATTTAGAATAGAATCCACTTATCACAATTACCGTGTAATTTCGTTATTACAAAACTATTCATTTTAACGTAATAAATTATTTTATCGTTAAGTAATATTTCGCTTGGTATTTCTTCACAGCACGTCGACGAATATTTAATGACTGAAACATAGGTACGTTATGTATAATTGAGATAGTTAATTTAAGTTTTGCAATTTATAAAAAAAATAATAAAATATAACAACGGTATTAATAAAATAACGATGAAAAAAAACATTGCTCAAATTCTGTAGTATGTGTATTAATATTTATTTGTTATAAGTAAATAATTTATACTCAGTCACTATGCTTTATGTGTAAATATTTTTAAATTGAGTCGTGCTAGTTCTATCCACAGTAAACAATATCTCATATTAAATCCCCATTGACAACCCGACTTAAGTGAATATAAATCATTACGTATTGTACGTTTAATTATCAGACAGCACAAAGACCTCTGAACGTGAAGACGCGTATCATTGTTTGCCATTTACGGAGTAAAGAATTGATCTCATTGGTTGAGAACTTCACAATGATTATTAAATGTCTTCACTTCTTTTATAGGTTAATTTCTATCAAAGAAATAAAAAAAACACGAAATGAAGTTTTGATAATAATTGCATTAATTAGTTAACATTAAGTTCCACCTCACAATGACATGACATAAACCGTTGCGTCTTTATTTTTCTATTCTTTAATGTTATTTTTCCTGAACACTTGATTACATTTTAAATTATCTTTAATTGTATAAAAGTGACGGGTTGAACGGTAACAAAAATCTTATTCTTGTTGCTCACTCATTCAAAGTGTGGTACGCCCATTGTTGCTTTCATACTCCGTTGACTTCGGTTCCCACAACGCCGCCTTAATACAGTTAATACTTAATATAGTAGGATATAGATTTTATATAAATAGTTTTTTTTTCGTTTAATTTTTAGATCGCGAAAATAAAGGAGACAACGAAAGTCAAAATATGTCTATGGATGCGATGAAAGCAGAAAGTTCCGAACAGTTCGAATTGGACTCCAATCGTAACTCGCCAAAAATTACCGAAGGTCAAGAACATTTAACTTCAACCGACCAAAAGAAAAACGAATTGTACTGTCCACTTTGCCAAGACGTTTTCGAAGATTTAATCAATTTCGAAAAACATTTAATGAACATTCACAGCGTAAACTCGGAAGGTCTCCAACGGCTGCTGAGTTTGGTCAACCAATCGCACTGGTTGAACTCAACAAAATCTTCACAGCAGAGTCCGCCCCACACTTCAACTAGTCCACCGTCGCCCGACTTGGACAAATCAATTGAAAAATCTGACGAAATTCAAGAACAAGATACTGACGAAAACAAATGTCCAACTTGTCAAAAAGTGTGCAAAAATATTGACGATTTATGTCAACACCAAAACGACACCGGCCACGTCGAAGTCAAACAGACGCCAAATGGACCAGGATACCTGTGCTGGAAAAAAGGTTGCAACCTGTATTTCACCACTGTGCAGAATTTACACATTCACTTCCGCGAAGTGCACGCCGGACAACAAAATATTCTTGTATCCGAGAAACACGTTTACAAATATAGATGCAACCAGTGCAGTTTGGCGTTCAAAACGCTTGACAAATTGCAAGCTCATTCGCAGTATCACGCCATAAGAGACCTGACGAAGTGCATATTGTGCAGGCGCAGTTTCAGGACCGTTGCCACGTTTCAAAAGCACTTACAGACCGCCCATCCAGATCTGGCTCAAGCCGATCTGGAAGCATTAAAGCAAAACTCCATGCTCCAATTTGAACAGTCAGCTGACGAAAAAATGGAAATCGACGAATCCGTCGATGACGAAGAAGAAAAAGACGATGAACCCGAGTGTGACAACAGTGACGATTCGATTGCGTTTAAACAACAGCAATTGATTGAAGACTACATGAATGGACAGACACTAGCTGAAGACGGGTACAATGACTCGGAAAGAAAGTACAAGTGCCACCGGTGCAAAGTGGCGTTCACCAACCAGAAGTACCTGACGCACCATAACAAAACGCTTTTACACCGAAAAGGTGAGAAGCAGACCTATCCGATGGAAAAATATCTCGACCCGAACCGGCCTTTCAAGTGTGAGGTTTGCAAAGAGTCTTTCACGCAGAAGAACATACTTTTGGTGCACTACAACTCTGTTCTTCATTTACACAAGCTGAAGCGGTCCATGCAAGAACAACAGCAACAGCTAAACAACAATAACACGCCTATCGTATCAAACAATTCATCTTTCGCCGCCATGAATGCGGCAGTCTAAGACGTCGGGCTCGACGTCGGAAGATGACGACAAAAAACCATACAAGTGCAACATTTGCAAAGTCGCGTACACCCAAGGGTCGACATTGGACATTCACATGAGATCGGTGTTGCACCAGACTAGAGCTTCAAAGCTGCACGATCTGGCGTTGGCCGGACAGGTGGACTTGACCAAACCGATAATCGAGCAACCCGAACAGGGCAGTCGACCGCCATCACAAAACCGACAGGATGCTGAAAGCCAAGCGTCAAGCAAAGACGATCAACAACAATTACAACTACCACAACAACAACAACAACAACAACATAACCACCACCAAAAGGGCAACCAGCTGAGCTGTCAACGATGCAACGCGTTGTTTTCGAACCAAGACCAACTCAATACCCACCAACAGCTGTACTGCATGTTCGGCACGCCAATGAGTATGTTGCCGATGAATCCGACACTGGCCTTTGCGGCCAACAATCTGAGCGCTTCCGTTCAGGGACCAAAGTCGCCATCGCAACAGTTAACGCTGACCGAAGAACAGCTGTTAAAAGTTCCACTGGCACTGCAAGGTAAGAAGCACTCGCACATGTACAAGCTGTTGGAGAGCTATGGGTTTGACTTGGTGATGCAGTTTAACGAGAATCACCAAAAGCGTAAGGAAAATGAAAAGTTGCTGCAAGAGCTAACTGCCCATCTGGAAATGGAACACCAGGCGAACGCCGTCAAGGAGGAAATTAATGAGATTAATGAAGAAGATACCGGTGACTTGCCTGAAGTTGCCAAGTCAACATGCGTGCACTGCAACAAAGAGTTTTCCAGCGTATGGGTGCTGAAAGCTCATTGTGAAGAGGTCCACAAGGACCTAGTGCCGTTTGATTTTCTCGAAAAATACGCCAAACAGATTAAATGTGAGATAGAGAAGAAGGGCAACGAGCCGCCGACCGCCAACACCATTACGTCATTGCCGTCATCGACATCCGTGTCTACAACCACAACGCCAACGGCCAGGATCGGTTCGCCGTCCGAGGACGTATCCGTTAAGATGGAAAATGAACAGGACATCGAAGCACAAGCAGAAAACGTCGATTACATGTCCAACGCAGCCACATCGTCAACCGGTGAACAGTCCAACGTGAACATGTCCGGTGTGCCATCGAACATTCCGCTGTCGGTCGCTCAACACTTGAATGAAATGCAAGCGGCATTCAACGCGATGGCAGCATCGCAACTTACACAACAACTTCAACAGTTCAACCCTATGATGGTGGCCAGTATGGCTGGTCTTGGTATGGGGCTGCCTTTGGGCCTTAACATGCAAGCGCTCGCCGCTATGAATCTACAACCACCGTTGGTCCCCATGATGATGCCGCCACCGAATTTCGAGTCAATAATGGGTTCGCAACAAAATACAATGTTCCAACAACAACCCTCCTCCATGGACCCAACTGGAATCCTGGCAAAACAGCAACAATTGCTTCAACAACAGCAACAAGTGGTGAGTACCGATTTTGATTATTGTATAGTCTATAATAGGGCAATGAATAAATTGAAATATAATTTGTATATTATATAAAATAGTGATAAAAAATAAATAATAATCAAAAAAATAAATATAATTAAAAAATATATAATACATACATAACCATATAGGTAGTAATAATATCTTAAATTTCATCATAGAATAAAATACAATACTGTAGTAAAAAAAAATTAAATTATATAGGTATAATATTACAATAATAAGACGCTTAAGATACATTTCTTTTGTTACAATAAAATTATTAATCACATATATTTACTTATATAATATAGTTAATATGCAATATTAAATTGTCACTATACATTTATATATAAATATATTACATTTCATTAGATGTAATATTATTACTATTCTGAATATTACAGTTTTTACTGTTACCTATATATTATGTATATATTATACACTTCATAAAAAATTAAATTGTGTAACGTTTGTGTGTATAAATTAAATCGTTTAATAATAACAATTATTAAATTAAAAATTTAATTTGTATGAGTTAAATTTATATTAGGAGGTATCTATCTTTACAACTAATTATTTTTATAAGCTTCTTATATAATTAATAATAATAAATTATTATTATAAATTATTATAAACTATTATAAAACAAAGTAGGTATCTAATCAATTTTTTTAAATTAAATTAATTATATTAAAAAAAATTTATATATTAGGAGGTACCTTTACAACTAATTAACAATATAGGTATCTAATTAATTTATTAAAACTAAATTAAATTAATTATATTAAAAAAAATTATAACTTGTGATTTCTGGAAATAAGAAAAAATATTAATAATTTAATAATTGTTACCTACGTATCTTTTATGTTAATAAATTAATACGTTATCATTTAAATGAGTTATTTTTCCTACAAATATAAATTAATCAATCATATACAATTCCTAATATACAGTTCTCTCGTAGCTTATAAAATATAATTATCATATGATACTTTTTGTGTGATGCTTATTCGCTATCAAATATTTATACTAAAACACTGTAGTTATTATATTTCATTTTGTGTGTGTGTGTTAAATAAACGGTATAGCTAAATTAAAATAAATTCATTACACTTCAATATACAACGGTTTGAAAAAAAATATTACGGACAAAAACATATAGATATACCTATTTAATAATAGAAAACAATATGAAACTATTATTTTATTTTTCACAATAGGTTTATTATTATAATTTTTATTTTAATCTATAGTTACAACGCTTATTATTTTTTACTATATTTTTGATTTTAATTTTCATGCTTGAACCATGTTGCGTTATTAATTTCTCATAGAGCATTTTATGTTTAAGCAATGCTTAGTTATTTTATTATTAGTGTTTTATTGTCATGGTTTAATTTTTTACAGCAACAAAATTCGCAACAAAAACGAGCGAGGACACGCATCACTGATGATCAATTGAAAATCCTACGTGCTCACTTTGACATAAACAATTCTCCATCTGAAGATCAGATACAAGAAATGGCCAGCCAAAGTGGTCTCCCACCCAAAGTCATCAAACACTGGTTTAGAAATACATTATTCAAAGAAAGACAGAGAAACAAAGATTCTCCGTACAATTTCAATAATCCACCATCGACTACGTTGAATTTGGAAGAATACGAGAAAACCGGCGAAGCAAAAGTGATGCCTCTTACTCAACCAATGCCAATAATTGAAAATACCGACGTCGTCGTCATTAAAGAAGCGCCTAAGACACCGACATTCGCGAAAAAGAAGCCTCTACAAACCAGCACCCCGAATAATAACACTGTTGTGCGAGCACAGAGTCAAACACCCACATTTCCTCAACAACAGACATTTGCTCAAAACTTTTCGAGACCGTTCACCACACAGTCCTTGGAGTCTCCGGTGAAGATGGAATCGCAAGTCAAACCAGAACTGAAAGATGCCGAAACTAGTCAGCCTGAAACGAAATTTCCGTGGGGCAATCCCGAGTCTCCATCCAAACGTAGAGATTCGGTTGAAGAAAAACAAAATCTGTACATTCACCATGACAGAGGGTCGCCGCTAGATTTAAACGCCGCTGAAAATCTAACTTTGTCCTCGATTCTAACTTCTCAACATCAAGAAATTAATATGTCAAATGCAATTTCCACCAGCAATATGCTACCACCGAAAATATCTGCATCGAGTTTTACTTCGCCACCACAAATGTCGGTCACCACACAATCGGGACCGAGGAGCATTAGCCCTGGTAGATCGCCCAATTCGTCTGATGGGTTTCCGCACTCAATCATGATGAACCAGAGTAGCGGTGGTTCCGGGGGTTCCACCTCGTCTGGTAAACGGGCAAATAGAACTCGTTTTACAGACTGTCAGATCAAGGTGCTTCAAGAATTCTTCGAAAACAACGCATACCCAAAAGACGATGACCTCGAGTATCTGTCAAAATTGTTGAACCTGAGCCCAAGAGTGATCGTCGTGTGGTTCCAAAACGCCCGACAAAAAGCCAGAAAAGTTTACGAAAACCAGCCAGCTGTAGAACCTGCACCAGGTATTGTTGAAGAGGGTTCAAATCGATTTCAAAGAACCCCTGGTTTGAACTATCAGTGTAATAAATGCCTGTTAGTGTTCCAGAGATATTATGAACTCATTAGACATCAGAAGACTCACTGTTTCAAAGAAGAGGACGCTAAAAGGTCGGCTCAAGCTCAAGCAGCAGCCGCCCACATCGCGGCTGCATTGAGTTCCGAAGATTCAAACTCAAGTACCGTAGAAAATCATCAAGGACAAAGCGCAAACTCTAATCCGATGACACCAACTCCGACACCAACTCCGAGTTTGACATATCCGACATCACCGATTCAAACGTCATCTTCACATGACAAAGAAAATGTTTACAACTGTGAACACTGTACTTCAGTGTTCACCAAACTTGACCAGTGGAAAGAACACCAACAAGTCCATTTAATGAATCCAAATTTGTTCCCTACCTATCATCCAGAAAGTGCTTTCGGAATTTTACAACAGCAAGCACAATTACACCAACAACAGCAGCAGCAGCAGCAACTCCAACAACAACAATCTCAGTCACAACAGATGAGTGGTACGTCCGAATTGAACGCTAACCCCACGTCGTTGATTTTGTCCATGATGCAACAGAATAATAAAAGATCATTCGACGAATTCGACGATCATAGTGATAAAGAAACCGAGTTCACAAAAGACAAACGCCTAAGAACCACTATTTTACCAGAACAGTTGGATTACTTGTATCAAAAATATCAGATCGAGAGCAATCCCTCTAGAAAGATGTTGGAAAGCATTGCACAAGAAGTGGGTCTAAAGAAACGCGTAGTGCAAGTGTGGTTCCAAAATACCAGGGCCAGAGAGCGAAAAGGTCAGTTCAGAGCGCATTCACAGGCGATTAATAAAAGATGTCCGTTCTGTTCAGCCATTTTCAAAATCAAATCGGCGTTGGAATCGCATTTGCAGACCAAACACCCGGAACAGTGTTCCAGGGGGTACATAAACGTAGACAACATTCCAGATGAAGATGTCAGTATGGACTCATTCGCGTCGTCCCAGATGAGCGAGATCGGGCAAAAGAACCAGACGTACGCGTCGAACCCGTACTATCAAAACTCGGAGGACGTGGAAAACCTAGGTAAAATGTACCAGGAGTCGTTAAAGAGATACATGGAGGAAATGCAACAGTCGAGTATGCAGAATGGTGTTTTGTCCGAGGGTGGCGAAAAAACTAAACCGGAGGGAGACAGTCCGCTAGATCTGAGCAAGCCCGTGGATTTGCGCATGGATCAAGAACAGGACGATGACGAAGACAGCATGTCTGAATGCACGGATATCATGGATGACGAAAGTCCAGCTTCACCTGCGTCAAGCACTCAGAGCGGTCAGCAGAGGGTGAACGCTCCTGGTGGCAGCAGTAGCAGTCAAAACAAACGGTACCGGACGCAAATGAGCAATGTGCAGGTGAAGGTGATGAAAGCACTGTTTGATGACTACAAGACCCCAACGATGGGTGAGTGCGAGATGCTGGGCCGTGAGATCGGCTTGGCTAAGCGCGTGGTCCAGGTGTGGTTCCAAAACGCACGGGCCAAGGAGAAGAAGTACAAGCTGCAAACCAAGCAGAACCAAGATCTGACTGGACCACCGGACGAGTGCAAGTATTGTCGATTCAAATACACTCACAAGTATTCCGTCCAAGACCACATATTCACCAGCCGGCACATCGCCCTGGTCAAGCAGCACGTGGAGAGCCGAATGTCGGTGTCCGACATGTCGGGCAACTGCAGCGATGGTGAATTCACGGTGCCGCCCAATCCGGGCGACCCGCACAACAACAACCTTCCCAACCAGCAAGTCAATCAGATGCAGATGCTCCAGCTGGCCGGGCTCATCGGCCAGTCTCCAGTCGCACAGGCCGTGGCCATGGCTACCATAGCGAAGCTGGACGGCAAGGACCAGTCGCAAATGACCGCCGAGGAGTTGGCCTTATTGCCGCACCTGTACAACCTGGGCATGACTTTCCAGCAAGGATTCATGCACCCGGGCACAGCTATGATGACGTCGCCAGGTCAGTAGTCTTAAATCAGTGTTGTATATTAGTATTAGTATTAGTATTATTATCGATAGTATGAGACGTATACAGTGTTCTATTCGCACGCGAATTATGCCCAACTAATACAACTCTTCGCGGTCCATAACCGCGATCAACAAGTGGTAACACAATGCTATCATAATGTATAAGAGAAATACTGTCATATGTATTCGGGTAACGACCATCACGGTCTGAGAAATCGTGATGTGATGGACAGCTATTATGCCTACAGGGGTGTGACGCGCGAACAAAAACAAAATCAATTTCATTCGTGCAAATTGTGTGTGCCGTGTTCAGTGTGTGATGCGTAAGTCACACACCGGGCCGGCGAGATACCTTATTATTATTATTATTATTATTATTATTCGGGACTGAGTGAGAGAGACAGAGAGAGCAGGAAAACCGAAAGAAAGCGCGAGCACATAAACGAGAAAATATGCAACATAATATACACATGCTTGTGTACAAATTATTTCGTGATCCGATTGATATATATGTATATATTTTATTTTTAATGAAAAGGGTTCCGTATCGAACGTTTACCATCTCCGGTGGCGCGCACAATGTGCTGCGCTGGGATTCGTTTGGGGTACGTTAATATTCTGGAAACAATGTCGAACTACCGCCGCTCCCTGGCAACGGTGTGCGAGCGGAGATTATTACAGAAATTCGTTACGTCGAACGTGAAACCGGAGAAAGGAACATCTCCCCGAACAAAAAAAAAAAAAATGAATCGAAATAATAGAACGTTACTATACACTGTATTTATATAATATGTTTGTGTGTGAGTGTGTTTTTAAAGGATTCCCTCATATTTTGGGTTCGTACGGCGTGAGTGTGTGTGCGAGGTACGTTTTTCATTGTTAACGTCCCCGTTAAAAATATAAAATTCGAGAGCTCTGATTAACGGCGGCCAACCGATCTGATACACATTTATGTATAAAATATATAATGATATTATATTGCATATTTTGTCCTTCACATTCTGGCATCCTACAGTTGCGTAGTGTGTCTTCGGCAGTAGCTTCTTGAAAACTGTTTTCGAGTGCGTTCGTTATTTTGCGTGTTTTTGTCACCCCGAAACCGCCCGTATATAGTCCGTCTCGTATAGGCGTGAAAAATCAGCGACCACCTGCGAAAGCTTTATGGACGATATCCGTCGCCTCTTACGTTTTTCGTTTCGGTGTTATTAGTTTTCGCCCGCCGTATCGTCATAGGGGTGAAATATTAATTCCACTCGTGTCCCCCGACCCGCACAACGGCGGTTTTACCCGATTTGCTGCCATCGTTGCTTTTCGGAGACGCGCTACTGTCCGTGACAAATTGTCTACAAACGAGAAATCGACTTGTTTGGACCACCGTGTGTTACATAATATTATGTATTTTTTTAAATCATGAAATAGCGTGTATACAGAGCGTTGCGGCGACAAATGCAATGCACCGTTATTTCCGCTGCCCCCGTACGTCTCACATAACGACTCTTCGTGGCCGTGGCTCCTGTGTGTGTGTGTGTGAAAAGATCGAAAAAATGATATATTATATTATTACATTTACGACCGGTGGTACAAAAGCGCGGTCGTAGGTAAACGCGCACACACAATAATGACCACGGTCCACGACACATCACCTCTACTCGCGACGATTATCGTTCGGCGGTTGTTCATATTGTATAGATACTTTAGGTTTGTGGGAATCGTGGGCGCTCTCATAATAATAATATATCACCGCGTACACATTGTTATAATGATATGTCTACGACACTGACCCGCCATGTTAATATATTATTATATTATACATATTATTATTATATTGTTTTTTACCATCATTATTATCATTATTAATATTATTTTGCATGCATTATTATTATTATTATTATTATTGTTATTATTATTTTGCTGTTTGTTTTTATGATTTATATTTATTTATTTTTTCTTTTGTTTTGCGCTTTTTTTGTAGGATAGAAATGAGTGATAAATGAGCTATAAAATCGTAAGCATTATGTTGTTCTCCAAAAATCACAAACACACAGGAGACCTGACGACGACGTTTTTTCACCGTTTTATATTTTGAACGGATTCCGAGTGTACACCTTTTTTGTAGATATATAAGTTAATATTATAATAACCGTGCGAGGTTAGTCCTAGGTATAAATCATACCTATAAATTATTTGTATACAAATTGTTAATGAATTCATACTATGTTTTATCTTTTTGTGATTCAGAATTATTGTCTAATTTTTTATTCAATTAAAATTTATGAAATTGTTTATTCAATTTTAGTATCATAAAAGAAAAAAACATTAACAATAAAATTGACGAATCTGCCGTCAGACATTATACACATAACATTATATACTTTGCTTAGTGTCTGACCGTATTAGTTATTATTTATTACCTAGACAATTGTGATATTTTAGGTTATTTATAATTATTTAGCATTTTGACTATGCTTGTTATTTATTATTTCTTTTTATCTTTTTTTGTAACGTAATTTCAAAGGCTTCGCCTGTATACGCAATACATAAAAGACTCCAATACAACATGCCCATTATTGCCACCCTCGATGACGCGGAGAGGGTACACTAAGCTCTAACAAATAAAAAATGGAAAAAATGGAGGGCCAAAAAAGTATTTTTTTTTCCTGTTAGTCATCGCCGTGCACTATATGCTAGGATATTTTCCCTTTTGTCTCGCTATATTTAAATTTATAATCGAATCTCATCCAGAGATATACCATCCCACCAATACCTTCTTCACTGCAAAACGGCGAAGCCCTAATTATAAGACTGTTTGTATAAGCATAATATGTATAACGCAAAAGACATTTTTCATGAAATTTCCTTTTTTTTGGTTTCATCATATTGATTCGATTCCATGTCACTTATTTTTTATTTACACCCATTGTAGAAATTTTTTTTAATTAGTTACATTTTTGTGCCTTTCCTTAAAGTTTTTCATAAGAAAAATATTGTTTTTCTTGTTGGTGTACATAAACGCGTTAATGTTAATATTATAAAAATCAATAATTATATATATACATATAATATATGTATATAGATACTTATGTATACTTGTATATATTATATACATATGTTTGTATACGCATATATCATGTTAGTTTTTAGATATAATATAAATATATATTCTTAAGTTTATGTTTTGACTGTTAATATTAATTTTAAAAAACAGTTGCTTCGGCGGCTGACTCACCGTTGAGCATTCTACTTGTGTACACCTATTATATATATACGTATACAATATAAGTGTAATGTATACTTAATATATATTAATACATATATTGAATATAATTTTATTACGAATATACATTTATATTATTTATTATTATATGCGTGTGTGTGTATATAATATGGACCTACATATATATATATATATTTGTATTTAGAGTCTACCCTGGCGTCTCACGTCATATGTGTTTATGATATATACTGTAATTTTAGATAGGAGTGCATTTTATATATTATAGTTTTTAAAATAATTATGTATTAATTTTATACTTAAAATACAAACAAAAAAATAAATCTAAATAATGGAAGAAAAAAATATTGTCGCTATACTTGAAGTTATTTTTTACGTTTTGTATAGTTTTATACGTTTTATTATTTCGCGATTTTTATTTATTATGCCTTTTTCGTTTTGTATGTGTACATTATATTATGATTATGATTATTTTATTATTATTATGACTATATATGATGATGCGATGATGACAAATGAATGAAAAGGAACAATCGAAATATACAGAATATTAAAAAAATACACACGTGTTTCGTTTTATTTTGCATGATGCCTGCAAGAGTTTTTTTGCTTCTTTTATTTTACGTAGTAGGTAAAATATGTATAATTTTTTTTTGTTTTTCTACGTGACCAATGGCCGTCTCAGTGTCGCTTACTTGTGCTGCAGGTACCTATAACAAGTACAAAGCGACACAATAATATAATGCGCACGACTGAAATACATTTTATATTTTATAATATATATAATGCATGTGCCGGCGGCGGACCAACCACCCCGTGCACAGTGACACAGGAAAGGGGTCGGGCTAAGAGTCTAGGGATTGGCTCGTGCTGGGCCCGCGATATTTGCATGACGACACCCGCTAAGGTCCGGCACGGGTCCGCTAGCTGGCTGGCTGGCTGGCTGGCTGACAGAAGGGAAGTATGTAGGGGTTGCGGCCACCACCCGTTTTTTATAATATAATATTATACACTCTGCAATACGACTATGTCGCGGATACGTGGTGTGTATATTATTGTAATGAGCGCGCGTGTGGTAAAAAAAATAATAATAACAATAATAAATACAAATTATAATAATAATTCACCATTGTGGTGCGGGGCGCGCGTGCAATAAACACGAAATTTGCATATCGCAGGGTACCCCCCCGGTACAATAATCGTCGTAGTAATGTGTAATGTCTTCCTGCTGCGGGCGTGCACCTCTGACACCGACGCCGTAACGGAAAAACACTCGTTTCGCGGGGCCGAGGGGGTCGGCCGAACCGGGAAAACCCTCTGTTGGCGACGATTATTCAAATGCATACATGTACCCATTATATAATGTCGCCGGCTAATAATAATATTGTAATTTATTTTATTATTATCAGTCTCTTTAATATATAGGGCGCTCGTGTTGCGCGCATTAGGTACAATATAAATATATGATAATATATTCGACGTACGCGAAATTAAATAATGTAGGTACACTCGAAACCGAGATGCAGAGCGCACGCGCGCAACCAGTTCGACGAGAAGGTAAAATATAGCCCAGGTAAAAATGGCGGTCTCTTCAATTTCGGGAAAATCGCAGAGAGAAATGAACGGTGACTTAGCTGAAGATGAAACGGGTGGTAAGTACACGATGGTGTACGACGACGAAATAATATATAATACGAACCGACGGCAATAATAATGGTTGCACGAGGACAACAATAATAATAATAACCGGGATAACTGAACCGTGGTACTATGGTGTACCAAATATATATATATATACCGCTGTAGGTAGTTAACTGTGTACACGTATTCTGGCCTGCCATAATATTATTACCTATTACGTGTAATATCTCTTTCCTCCCGCGCTCATAGGTATAATATGTTTGTATATAGGTAATATTTCGTATGCGAGCACGGGGAACTAATCGTTTGTGCGTTACGTCGTCGTGTATCACACCTCGGCGGCGGCGTACGAAAAGATGAGGCAAAAAAAATATAACGCGAGAAAAATTAAAAGAAATAAAAATAATATATATATGTATATAACAACATGTGGACGAGTGGAGGCCGACGATAAGGAGAAAAAAAAATTACGATTATTATTATTTTATTATATTATATAACGCTCCCGCGATCTATAACGACGTGGTCCGTGGCCGGTGAAAGCGGCGATCGTGTCGTTTTTATATATTATGAATATTCGTTTTTATTTTTTCCGTCATTTTCCCCGAAATATAATATCGAATGGGTATAATAACGACAACAACAATAATCGTATTCAAGGATTTCGTCGTCGGGCGGGATAAAAAAAAAAAACAAAACAATTACGAGACGAGGACTCCTTCTCTGCGCGTTAGCCACGGATGATCAAATAAAATATAATCGTTTGACCGTATAGGTAACATGCAGGGCGATCGTAATAATATTGAATAATACCAACAACTATATATGTAGGTTCTTGCTATATGATTTCTTTCTCCGTCGCTTCGTAGTATTTTGGCCCGGTCTCGTAGATTGATAAAATAATACTATAAAAGGCGATTGAAATTTTCCGACACCAAATCGATGAAAAAAAAAAATGGCTAGTTTTACGCGCACCAAGGAGAAATCGCATCAAAACGACGTCTGGTTTAGGTAATATCCGTGATAACAGAATAACAATGACTATATAATATATAGGTGCCTATGACGAGGATGATGGTTTCAATCGTTTTCCGAACAGTGTCTCGTTTTTGGAAATCTTGTCGTCGGCTTGGGCAACTGACCGCTGACAGAATATGTATATCATATCGCATTATAACAACGAATCGAAATAATAATTTTGAAATCATTACAGTCGACCGGTGGCGGCCGTGGCGGCGATTAATCGGTCAGAAAACCAATCTAGTGGTATAATAATAACGAACCAAAATAAATGAAAATAATAATTACAGATATCAATATTATAATGCGTATAATGGGTTTTCCGCGCGACGAAAACCGCAACGGCCGGCGTACAATATTTTACGTGTGTTGCGGTCGCAGCGGGAAAACAATCATCGGATACCATGTAATAAATACGTGAGAACGACACACACACACACACACAGCTTAGGACTGACCGTGTTCATTATTATTATAAAATACCGTCTCGTCGTAGGTATATTCGTGTGTGCGGGAAATTATAATCTCCCGATAAACCCTAATTATTATTACGAGTAGTTCGGTTTCGTTTAAACGAGATCTCTCGCCTCCGTGCCCTTCCATATGAAGAGGTACAAGTTATAATACTGTATTCGGCTGTACGAGGACCTTACCGCAGCCCGGGTAATGGACCGAAATTACACATGTACTTAATGTTTACCGGAGTGATTAGAAATCCGCCGCATTGGGTTTTCGTCCGCGTCTAATAACAACGTCCGAGCTGGCGCGGGCGAGATAAAAAGCCGACGACGACGGCGACGAGTGTGTGTGTGTGTGTACGGAAATTATATGGAAAAAAAAATTAAAAAACGAAAGAAAAAAAAAGGTAGTAGACGGGAATTTAATTCTCCACCGCCTCCGCCGCGCCGTCAGATGACTCCATATTTACTAGTGTATACGATTAAAAGTAATAATGATAATAATAATAATTTCTCTCTAATGAGCGTCTGCCAGGCCGGTCACCATCACGTCAATTAAATACGGATATAATATCTAGTAGGTATATATACAGGTACCAATGTTATGTATGTACCTACCTATATAT